AAGCAGATAACACCTCAAGTGGTGGAAAAGTGGCAAAAGAGCATGACAAACAGGTATTTGCTGAAAAGTGCATCTTCTTAAAAGTCTTAATGTGTTTTCTTGATGAGATTGGCATGGGGAAGTAAAGAGTACAGAAGATAATGTACAATATTTTGATTAAAAACATTATAGCTAAACAACCTCCCCCAAAAGATGGATTTATTGAATGAAAAATCAGGACCAGTGATCTCAAAATTTAAATGCCATCAAGAAATCAAGGATGATCTAGGTGGAAGATTCTAACGGAGTTTAAAATTCCTTCTGTTAAATATTTAATGTTGTAGATTCAAAGTAAAAGTTCTAACTGATAAAGTTTACAACGAGAAGGAAAAAGAGGAGATGATAATACGTTATTTGTGCAGAGTAATCTCAGTCATACGGAAAGCAGCCTATGTTCATTTCAGCACTATGCATCTAAACGTATCTGTGCTGTAAAGGCACACATTCAGTAATCAATAACACCACAATTACAGGAGAGGAACAACTACATAGTCTCTCTTGTGCAAATTCACAGACCAGGTGATATCTGTCTTCAGGTCTGATAAAAAGAAGTGATGTGCTGTTCAGAAAAACAGCCTACTACTATTGTGCACAATAACTGACAAATCTCCAATTTAGTACTCCACGAAATCTGACGGCTCAACATTTATCACAAGCAAATCCAACCACATACTGAACTGCTCAAAGCCACGTATCTTATACACATAAATCATGTAAAATATCATAAGTGAGATATTAAAATTGACAAACTAAAGTTTTGGGAGGGGAATTAATTTTTTACAATACAGTTTAAAAATAGCGATGTCTACGTTTTGAAAGTACAAGTACAGTAAACAGGAACAGCCCTGTATAACTCTGCATCCTGCTTGCTGTACACATCAAAAAAACGCAAACTACAACACGTGTGTAGAGCAAAGGAGTAATGCAAATATATATTTCCTAAACAAGTTTTCATTTTTGCTTCTATATTTACTAGAACAAGAGAAGTGGTTCTGCCTAAATTTAAGCTGGAGAAGAGTTATGACTTGATTGGTTATCTGAGATCCATGGGAGTAGAAGAACTGTTCAGTGAAAAAGGCAACTACTCCGGTGTATCGGATGAGAAAGTCACCATTGACAGGGTACTTACTCCACTTGTAATTTCCTTTCTGCTTAAACTGTGTCTCCTGAAAACATGGCAACAAAGTAGAAATAATTCACAGTAAGCCAAAATAATACTTTTTTCCCATCCTTCCCGGAGCACATAAGAAGGATGCGTGTTTCTCTACATGAATAGACAAGGACGTGCAACAAGGAATACATTTAGTCACGTGTCAAAGGCACGAAAAGCGTCGCGGTCAGTCAGGAACAGGCTTGTTCACAGACCAAACCCAGAGATTGCAGCTGCACAGGCGTTACCAGCAAGAGCGTCTCCAGGGAGCCATGTGTGGGACATGGAGGGGGGAAGGCTCTGAGCACATCATTTGTCTATGCTTATGAGATCCTCAATCTCTTGTTTGTTTGTTTTCCTTTTTCTGTTTGTTTGAACAGTTCAATCATCAAGGCACAATAACTGTGAACGAGGAGGGCACAGAGGCCGCAGCAATAACCAACGTCGGATTTATGCCTCTTTCTACTCAGACTCGCTTTATTGTCGACCGCCCCTTTTTGTTTCTGATCTACGAACATCGCACCAGCTGTCTCCTGTTCATGGGCAGAGTTGTCAACCCAGCCAAGTCTTAAAAGCAGAGACCACCTCCAACGTGCTGTTATACATGGGCTGTATAATTACACGTTAATATACCAGTATCATAAAGGAAATTTTATTGTCATACTAGCTAATACAAAAGCCACTCGTATCAAAAGAAAATATATTACCTACAGTTAGTTTCACAAGAATGGACTCATGGCAGTAGATAATTTGACTGCAAATTAAAATGGTTAGTGCCATATATCGATAAGAGTGTCTTAAAAAAACAAATCACAAAGTAACTTACAGTGTGTTCTACTTCAGTGTATAAAATAATCAATAAAATATTTAGACTATATGGATTCTTGAGGTTTAGCTCTATATTTGTGTTAGGATGCCTGTTTATAAGGAATAGGAAAAAGGAAATCCTGAATATCCCATCAGTCTTGGAAGCCTAAGGCTCTCCTGGGTATTTTACATAATCTAACTTGAAAAAGAATAGGTGCTTACATTCTTTCTTTTGCTTGCATCATTCAAAATTCAGCAAACTTACACGCTATGAACCTTACGGGCCAGTGTACCAAATAAGAGATTAAAATATCTTGGAGGAATGAAACCCTAACGCATCCACTACTGTTCCCTAACTGGTATGCTTTCCATGCAGTTCTCTTACCTTCATTAGTACAGGCAGTATCAGAACTGGGCCAACCAAGTAAACTATGTAAAGATACTCTGAACACCTTTTATAGCGAAAGCAGCCAGCAAAATGCTGTTTTCACCGAGCATCACCTAATCCTCTCTACAAAGAAGCGTGATGTAAAGCAATCACAACATTAGTTAAGAATTCAAATACGATCTCCACACTTGACTCAATGGACAAAACCTTTCAAGTCAAACTGAGACTGTAAACCTTCTCAATCATTCTGGTTCCAACACGAATGCTGTAGAGAAGCCTGTGTCACACTTGAAAAAGTGAAAATTTACATGCGCTCTGTAGCACATTACTACTTACCGAGTACAGAGTTGCATCTTACATTCAAGTTCCTAAAGCAATGAACATTCCTCACTTTTGCATACCTTCCTTTGCATCGGACCTTCCAAAAAAAATGTGCCTCTCAATCCAGTGAGGGTATTTTTATTATTATTTGCTGTACTAAATATTGCATCCATCTAAATATATTCATATTATAAATTTGTCTTATGTCAGCAAAATCCACAAATTAAGCGATACACCAACAGTCGTTTTAAAGATTGGGAATTCTTTTAAAGAAGTGTTTTCCGATATTAAGTTTAACTTATTGACATAATTTTGCTTTTATATACTGCCATTTGTAATTTTGCATCTAATACGATTATTTGCCCCATACACAAAAATGTTTAATATGACAGCCAGCGGAATTTTAGTATTAGATGATGAGGAGCAATGAAAAGTTGGTATCAAATAGGAAGCTCAGGCATTTCTCTACTCCTGCCTCACCCTGTGCTCAGTTACAAGCCCACCAAGTGGGGGACAATTTTCAGTACTGAAAGTTCACAAGAGATCATTTATGTTCACGTAAGCATTTTATTGTTTTATCTACATTCAAAAAAGAAAAGCATCTTCAAAAGATTAAATCTTCATGGCCCTGATTTAATTAGTTTATCAATGATCAAGTGACCTGGAGAATCTGAAATATGGGGGGGTTGAGACCTGAGTAACAGTAATTATTCAAGAGAAAGAGCTCCAAGCAGAAGAGCAAATCAGCTACTGCTCAAAACTCATGATCTTCCTACATTGTGCAAGAAAGTCAAATATTTGCTTCAATAACCATAATGTAACCATTAACTCATGCTTCAGATTCTGGCTCTATCTGACTCCATTTAAAGGTCACATTGGTTAAGAAAAATGCAGTTATCACCTTCTATTCAGAACAAATACATCATCAATAAGAATTTGAAACTGGAAAGTACTTTCATAGCTTTTACGTTAACTCTCTAAAAAGCACTAATCTTTTCTCAATATGCAAGGAAGGATCTTGGTTTCACTCAAATCAGTGCTGGCTTTACTCACAGCTGAGAAATACTACTCGCTAGAACATACCTCTCAGCACAGGAATAGTTAGTTCACGCAAAATCCGAGCGCTTGCCAAGAACAGCAATCCCAGACATTTATCAACACCTTTCTGCAAAGCTACGATCCGGCCCTTGTGAATCCCTGGGGGATTCAGGAAGAGCTTATATTGGAAACTCAAAGAAGAGATAGGGGAAGGAAAGCAACAGTTCTTTCATTTTTAACTGGTGCTAATTTTAGGCTCTTCTCTTTGAAAAGGTTCAGTAAAAAAGTCAGTGCAGGCAGAGTGTGAAACAAGCGACTTTTTCCTGCTTGGCAATGCATGTGCAGTACAAGCACGTTCCAAGGGGCAGGCCTACTGCTAGCACCAATACACCTGCTCCCGGCTGTACAAGAAAAGCTTCACAGAAGAATTCAGCTTCAGGAGGGCAGAAAGCGACATGATGTGTTCTGTGTTCTCCAGCGGGTTCAACTTTTAGACATTTTTTGTAGAAGCTACAGCAGTTAGGGAACTAGCCCTGCTGACTTGGAAACCCAGCTTGTACACACCAAATTTTCTGTTGGAGATCTAGAATGGTTGCACACCAATTTTTGACTGAATTAGTAGTTATATTTTGTTAAAAAATTATTTTTCCCCCAGAAAAAAATTGTCATCTGAGACCAAAAGCAGATATACAACAATACAAATGAGTCTGGAATGGATGTCCGTGTCCTTGCATACTTGCCAAAATGCTTTCGACACGTCAGACAATTCTAGTTTCAGAAGTCACAGGACGCTTCCTTCCTTTCCTCTCTCCTCTTTCAATGATCTATTAAGAAGCAGAATTTACTTGCTGCCAAACTAAGATTTATTTTTAACTCTGTTTCTATTAACTTTTGGTTTTCATTCTTCTCCACAGGCCACACACATGTGCCATCTACTACACTGCATACCAAACACTATTCAAAGAAATATCCTCTGTGGTACTATTCAGTTCATCAATCTCTTGAATTCATGACTAGCAACAATCTAACTTTCAATTACAAGAGATTAATTATTTTAAGAGATATCTCATTATTACACAAATGCTCCCTCCCCAACCTAGAGCAAAAATATTATTTTACCATACTACCATATTCCTCTTGGAGGCTTACCTCTTCATTAGTTGTTAATCAAATCATCTGACTATGAAATAGCACCAGTATTTGACATGCGTGAGAAAAATTACTCTGTTTGCAACAACCCAACCATTGGATACTCACCACAGCAATAACAGGAATAAGCACACCCAGATTGCCTGCGCTACTGGAGGCCTGGAAAAGAAAAAGGAAGTTTGATCAAAGCATTTACAAAAGCATTTCTAAAATACATGATACAAGATGTATTTTAAATATCAAATTCTATGCAAATTAAAACATACATTGCCAGTTACAGCTCTGTATCCTGCAAACAGACCTGTCCAAGGCAGCCAAGAAAGCGCCCCAGAAATCCAAAGGACTGGGACACCCAGGCATCTCTCAACAAAGCTTTTCCGGTTGGATACAAAGCCAAGTATTACACCTTGAATTAAAAGCACGGTAAATATTCCTTGATAGATACCATGTCTACCCAACTGCAAGAAAAATGTTCACATTAAATAAGTGGCCACAGACAAGTGTCAAATGTTTACTAAAAGCCTAATTTTACTTTCAAAATGAAGTCAAAAATAACAAGTCTGTAAAAATACACCATATTCAAGCAGCTATTTAAACAAGGTCAACAGCCTTTTCCATTGAAATACAAGAAACACAAGGAAAAAAATATTTCCTTTAACTTACTAGGACATTGCAGTCTATGCAACGTGTGCATTTGCTCTTGTCCAAATACAGCGTTTAAAAACTGAAAACACTCACTGCACACAGCACATTCACCTTCTCTGCTAAGGCAGTGAAAACACAGACCCGATGCTCAGAGACATCTGCTCTCTAACGTCTGTCCCTACCTCCCATATCCCTCCACCTCGGATGTGGGTGGGAGAGAACTCTCCAGCTTCCTTCTTACAAAAGAGAAACAAGGTACAGAGACCTCTGGTCCCATAGGGCAGAGGCAAGGGAGACACGCTAACAGGGTGCAGTTTGGCATGCCATGGAATAAACCGAAAGGAAGGAATTCAAAAAGAAAAGAAAAGCCAGGGCAGGGAGGGAGAGAGAGAGAATGCCCCAAATAGTCTTCAGATGAAACAATCATGATATGATCCAACTAAAACACTTTTTAGTTATCTCTCCTGTAGTGTCCAAGACAAAGCAAAACAGAAAATGGGCCCTTAAATATTTTAAGTGAATAAAAGAACACCACTCGAGTCACTCTAAGGGGTAGGAACAACTGGAAAAGGTCATCAGGACAAGTCACTGCATGTGGCAAATTGCTACAGAGTCAGAGAAGAGCTGCAAGCTAACTGAGATAATCAGAAGCCAGGACCTGATGCCAACAGACAGAATTGCAAAAAACCTACTGCTCTGCTACTATTTTAATTATGAAAATTGATTATCAGCCTCTTTATGACAATACCGGGCACCGAGGATAAAGAATTACTTCCCTGGACATACTCACTTGTGCTAACTATCAGCAATAGAAAAAGAAAAAAAAGTCATTTTTCTTCCCCTCACAGAATCTACTTTTGCATGGTTGAAAGATCTGGTATAAAACAAAAAAATAAGCCACTGAAGCACTTTAATAGTTAGCAGGCAAATTTAAGTCCATGAAAAAGTATGCTGAGAAGCAGAGAACATAAGCAAACTACCTGATAACCACCAAAGAACAAAACTGGCTTTATTTGGGACTACAGCACAGGCAGTGTTTTACCTACTTTAACTCTTCCTCAAAATGAAGTAACCCAGGCTTCAAAATACCTTCATAACATCTACTCTACACCGAACAGAGTTCTAGTAAAAACTGCTATCAGTATCCTCATAATAAAGAAACACTGCCTCCTAGCTCAAATCCATGTTAAACCAATCACAGATTTTCCATCTGCAGGCAGCTTTAAGTCAGTGCAGTTTGTCCCCCATAGCGATTCCAAAACTGACATAGGGGAAAAACATCCCTGAAAGGTGGAGGGTGGAACCTCATTTAGAGCATTTTAGAGCAATGTTTGCAATCTGGTTTTCCCCATTTCAGCTCATTCATCTGTGATTAAAAGAACCTGTGAATCTCATGGAGAGAGATTTTTCTCCACAGACTTCACGAAAAGCAGAATCTAGACACGTCCTGGTTCCCTTTAAAAGAGCTGACATCCCCTAATAAATGAAATCTATATTCAGAGCAGACAGATTCATTTCAGAGAGATTTACCAAGAGACTTCACACACACCAAAAAAGGATAAAGATAGAACTTAGCCCTGTTAAACTGTAGCATGCACAGGACGTCAAAAAAAAGGTAAAACAGAAAAACAACCCCAGATCATCATTCCCCTTCATACTAGGAAAACGTGCCTATGTCAAAAGGAAGTGTTACCTATCCCAAACCTCATCTTCAGTAACACCTTAACCTTCCACTGTGAACATACTTGAATTATTTAAACACACAAGTGCTTTTTTTGTATGTAAAATCACTATCAAACACTGGGAGTTTTTAAAAGTTGTCCTTAGTAAATACTTAGAATGCCAAGAGGTTCCAGCATTTGAACACCAGGGAGGAATGTAACTGGAGGAAGGCTCTGATTTTTCATGAGTAGAAAGCAATCTTATTTTGCTTTTCAAACGATAATATAAATCTCAAGAGCAAAAGTCAACGCTAGCAGCTTGTTTATATTTTAGAGCAAAGTTGAGATGAAGGTATTGTAGAAAAGGCCGAGATTTTTGTTTGCTGCTTAAACAGAATATATACATTGAATACTCTGGATTGTTTACTGAAATGGGAAGAAAAGCTAGAATGTGAAGTGAGATGAGAAAGTCTTCACACAAGAAAAAAAAAAAAGCAGAGAATTCTGAGTGAATACAACAATTACGCATAAGCTGCTCATGCAAAAATTTAGCTACCATTTAAAGATATTCGTATTCCAGATCTTCTCATAAAGTTTCACAGGCCAGTATGTATTAAATTTTACAAATCACAGTTAAAAACTGTGTTTAAAAACAACAAAAACCCCTCAAATTTGTTCTTCTGCTAAGTAATCATACCATACATATCAAAGGGACAAGTCTCCTCTTTCTTAGGCAAGCTTTTTGAATACATTTGCTCTCTAAATAAAGCACTCCTAAAACCCATTCCCAGACAGAGAAATCTGCCTCAGCTTGGATCTTGACAAAAATCAAGATGCACCCACTCAGAACAGCAATTCTGGATTAATCAGGATGACAAATTGTCTACTACCAGCTAGAGGTTGGACTAGGTGACTTCCTGAAGTCCCTTCCAACCTGAGTCATCCTAGGACACACTAAAATTAGAAATAGATTTCTGTCACATCTAAAGAAACATCAAGATTTAGTAAGAGTTGAGCAGTGAGCACGCTGAATTTCTCACTGCAGCTCAGCCTCTAGCAGCTGAACTCTCCAGACGGTTTACTCAGCCTTGCCCAAACCCAGGCTCAGCTGAAGCGCACGTGTGCACCACCGCTCGGTCTCGATCCTCGGCACAGCTTCAGGAGATATCTGACAGGCATTACAGGTCTGCACGCACATCGCACAGTCAGAACATATTCTGACATTTACAGAAGAGCGATTCTTCCTCTGTGTGTAAGGGCACAGGTTTGGTTCAAAACACACCCACAGGAGCACATTTAGCAGTGCCATCCGTATAAAGGGCTGCGTACAACTAGAAGTAGTGAATATCTGACCTTCAGTGCTGGTCCTTTCTCGCTTGCTCTCTCACTGGCTCTCTTTCCTTCCAGCCCGAGCTGAACAAACAGTTCCAGCAAGTTCATCAGCAGCTCATCCACAAGGTGTTCTCCTTGAATGTTAGCAGCGATGTTAGCTAAGGCATTAATGACTGCTAACGAACAGTGTCTGACAAGAAAGAACAGTCATGAACAAGCAATTCCTCAAAGTTGTGTAATTTCAGTTCTTTCTTCACAATGCTGACAGTAACACTTGTAATAAAGTTACTGACATTTTTTCACTCAGCATTTTTCTTGGAGGGGATGATTTTTTTGTTTTTTAATGAATAGTGGCACATCAGTACCGATAATTGAAATGCAACCAGTATTTAAGTTAAAATCTATTTATAAACCTTATCTCTGGAGGACGTTTAATTTCTGATGCTGTCACAGTCCAAATGAAATTACTTTCCTGTGGTAGATGTGGGAAAAGTGAAAATCCCTAATGTAGCATAAAGGATATTCCATATAGCATTCATACATTTAAGGGACACAACTAAGTGTTACCTGTATCCATGATCCTTATAATCTTTTGTGGCAGAGTAAACAACTGAGCTTGCTTTAACACTGATTTGTTGAAACAGATTCCACACCTCCTGGTAAATATATTGCTGTAAAAAAAAAAAAAAAACACCAAACAAAAATCATTAAAAAGAGCTTATTGAATACAATCTCTTTAAAGAACAACCCTGTAAAATAAATTAAGTATCACAAATTTCTTTACATAAGTATCTAGTCATACTCTAAGCAACAGTTTCAGCTTCCAAAGCACGGTGGAAGTGCTTTCATTAGTGTTTTTAATTGCTCAAATTATATGATATTTTTTAATTTTCTTATTTTTTAAAATTACCTTCAGAAAAAGTACTTCAGTCCTTGTACGACTGAAGGAGGCAATCAAAACCCTTAAATGTATGGACCTACAAGACTTGGAAAGTTAATTACTCGTACAAAAACAAGATGATGCACTCCTACCGGGGACATAGGTCAAGTTTATAAACTTCTTAACTTCTGAAATCATTGCATTTGGTGGGGTTTTATAGTTTGGTGTTTTGTTTGGGTTTTAAATTATTATTTTCTAAAGGGACTAATCTTTACAGGGACAGCATCTTACACTTTATTAATTAGCTTTTGTTTTCTGATGTCACAAAGACACGAGGCTTGTGCAAGCACATACCTGTGGTGATGAAAAGCCTTAAAAATCTTCCACAAATACAGTTTCTAAAATGCATTTTCTCTTAACTAAAGGAAAGGGATCATGCACTAGTACTCCCTTTCTCTCCTTACATTTCCAGTGATGACCAAGCAGCCCAGCTGATCAATGATGAGGACATCAAGATGAGATGGTGGCTGGCAAAACTTCTGCTGCAAGATCTGTAGGATAGGTTCCATCATTTTTGGGGTGTCCCTCAGTGCCACTGCAATATGTCCCAGAGCACGAATGGTGTGGTCGGGAATCAAATGAGCTTCCCTGTTACAAAAAAACCCACAAAAAATGAAAACAACTCATGAACCATACATGTAACTGTCCAACAACTATGAAGACCTTCAAGCACAGTTACGTTTCATGTAAGAAACAGTTCATCTACTAAATGTAAACATTATTAACAGCTTCAATATTGCCACTCCGTATGCTCATCTCCATTAACATTAGAGATACACTTGCACAAGTTGGTTTTCAAAAAAAAAATTCAAATAAAAAACCAAACCCACAAACGCATGAACAAACTGCTCTAGAAATAACAGTGAAAAGAGTTAAAAGTGATCTGCATAACATCAAGACCTAACCGCCCATTTATAATTAGGATCTCCTCTTGTAGGCTTCATGGTTGGCAAGTCTCTTAAAAATGAACCGTCAAATCACACACGTGACAAGCTGTGTCAAGCCATAAAAGATAGCTGAAGTCTGAGGATACAGCAGAGTGAGTATCACTCAATCTAGGACTCAAAATTGGATAATATTCATCAAAGATTTGCTGATTCCTTCAGATAAAAATGAGTCCATACCTCTCAAGAGGAAAACAATGGATCAGCTCTGCCAAGATTTGCATGAGAAGATCTTGATCCCACAATACAAGCTCACTAATGTCAGAGAAATTTAATTTTAAAATAATTCTGCCCATACTTGTATTTAGTTATAATAAGCTTCAAGTTTACCAGCTAAAGGAAAAATCAGTTTGATGACTAACAACTTACTTATCACTCTCTTGAGAGATGTACAGTCGGTTAGATAAACTGGCAAGAAAGGCCTCAACAATCACCGAATCGATAGTCAAGCCAGCTTTCAAGCACCTGGAATAACAACAAACAGAAAACTTGCTAGAACAGCTAGAGGAAAAAACTAAAAGCACAAATATTTCAATTCTTACTACTGTAAATGCACATCAGGTATAAGGGAAAATAGCTCATGTGGAAGTATAGGAACCAACTGTGTAGGACCACTGCAGATGTATTTTTAAAAATGAGCAGAGTTTCTACTGCTGCTTTCTCCAGCAACAATAAAGATGGGGACAGGCAATAAGGTAAATTCAAAATTCACTGCTTTAGAAGCTTCAAGCCCTTGTCACTACACACCAACTATCTGTCTTCCCTCCACCTCTCTGTAGCTGCCTAGAAGGGAAGACTAATCATGTCGCTGCTGACACTTGAGCACATAACAATCCTTCACTCGACACGATAATCTAAGCAGAAAACAAAACCACTGCATCAGAACGGTGACTAGCATGAATTACCTACATGGGAAGCAAACCAGTAAGACTGAACTGTTACTTTAAAATCAGGACATAAACAGAACCAAGAGATACCTGAATAAAAACAAAGTCGCAACCGAAAAAAGGCAAAAAGCCTTCAGAGCAGCACAGAGCAGTACCTTCTAAATGGCCACAACGCTTTTTCGCTGGGGAAATAGAACATGTGCTCCAACACAGCGCAAGTCTCTCTCTTACCTGCAAATGTTGTCTATGGCAATGTCACGCAGCTGCTCGTACATAGATGGTTGACTCTTCTTGCCAGGTGTTACATTTAGAGTAGACTCCGAGTGCTCATTAGTTACACTAATCTTGATGTCATTACCACCTACAAAGAACACAGAGTATGGAAATCAACACCATTTGAAAGAGATTTTCCTCCCCACGGCAGAGTGCAAAACATTCTACCTGACAGCTCGGAGTTGAGCTGAAGAACTTTGGAAGTGCATACCTGTCACTAGCTATGCAAGGTATCACTCCATTTAACTATTCCTAAATAATTATTCCCAAACTTACCCACCTTCACTTCTCATTTCACCTGTTCTGCTTTAGCATTATGATACTGCTTTTGCAGTAATCTGAAAATTCTCTATTTGGAAATCATAACTTAAAAAATACCAACAAAGAAAACTCTCAACCGGCATCAAGATGGTCATGGGGCTGGAGCACAGGACCTGTTTGGAGTCTGAGGAACAAGGCCTTATCCAACCTGGACCACAAACAGTTTTGGACAGACCTAAAGGCTGCCTTCCAAAGCATAAAGTAGGTTACTAAGAAGACAAAAGCAGGCTTCATGGGAAAACGAGACAGCAGCTGTAATTTGAAACCTGGGAGGTTCCAAACGTATAGGTGGGTTTGGGGTTTTTTCTGCCACTCTGAGGATAACTATGCATTGACACAGGTGGTAGAATTTCTGTCCTTGGAGGTTTCTGAAGGCCCATATGGATGAAGCCCAAAGGAAACTGCTCTGAATCGAGTGCAGGAGGTTGCCACACATAATATAACCTTCGATGCTGCAGTTGTTGGTGATCTCATTCAGGACAAAAGTGCCTGAGATAAGACTATCCTGGCTTCAGCAAAACAGGCACAGCAATATTGCTGCTAGGAGAGAATGTACATCCACCTGTACTGCTTGCCCTTAGACCTTATTTCTACCAGATTTCTATTTGCATTCCTTCTCCTAGCTTCCAAAAAAAAAAAAAAAAAAAAAAAAGTAAAATCAAAAACGCATCTGTTTCCCCTGACAGCCATACCACCACAAAATATCCAAAACTATCAAAAATTTTTATAAATTGGAGAACAATCACTAGAATATCCTTTGGAATATAGCCTTTACCTGTGTGATACTGGCTATGATATTTGTAGAGTTTCACAAGCACCGGGGAAGGTATCACAAGGAAGTCTCTCAAGGATGGATTGACAGAATGAACCACAACAGGGAATCTCTCACACAAACGGCCTAGACCCTAAAAAAAAATAAATTAAAAACCCAACCAAAATATAGCTTTAGAATACACACACTTTAGAACAGACCACATTTTTAAGACTGTGAATAAGTGCCCAATAAGACATAAAAATTAGAATAATCAAGCCTTACTCTTAAATGTCAGTGAGCTACCAGTCACAGTATTTTAACTGTTTACACAATGGACTAAGAAGCTAACTATTTCAGAAATTAAATGCTGGTTAAAAAAGTCTCATGAACATTATTCTTCAAGAAGTACTTGAGTTACACAAATTTTGAAAGCTCTACTCTACTGCAATTCTAGTTTCCACACCAGACCTCTAAAATCCAAACACAGAACACACTGGTGGAAAGGAATAGAAACAGCAGACAAAAATTGTTCTTCTGGCAACTTGTAAACTCCCCAAACTCTCACTCACACAGTAGTGTCAAATACTATAAAAGACAGACCTGCAAACAGCAAATTAGCAGTGGCAAGTGAGCAATGATGACTTTGCTTGAGGTTTTCGACTGCAGCTTCTCTGATAACTTGATGCACAAGTTTTCTGCACCTTAAACAAAACATCCAGAAGAAATATTTATGTTTATCAGATTTGTTACTAGGCCACACACAACCCAACGCTTACTAGAATTTCTAAAACAATACAGAAAATATGTCAGCTTCCCTCTCCTCATACTACAATTCCTCAAAGAGATTTAGTGCTTCTTTCCAAAATCGTTTTTTTTTGCAGAACTTAGATCTGCACCAAACAGCTCTGTCAGACACTACGACACAAAGAATTACAGTACTTAAAGCTGATACTGAGTGTGCTCCACATATGATAGAAATGACGTATTGCAAGGTCCAAAGGAAAAGAAAAAAAATCCTTCACATATTCAGAGGAGGTGTAAGACTCATACAACAAGAAAGAAAACTGAAGAAAAAGCGAGGCGTTCTAATAGCAAAGAGTATTCTACTAAAATCTATTTTTTTATTTCTCTTCACATCATCTACTCTCAGAGAACTTCCTATTTCTACAACTTAAAAGACAGATATTCCAGAGACCGGAGAGCATTTTTCACCTTGCTCATCTTTCACAGCCCACACCATGAGATCCACGCAGGCAGCGTTGGCCTGACAACGCAGTTTCAAGGGACTCAGCTCATGGTGCAATCGATCCACGTCGTGAAGGATCTTCTGAAGTTCTGACTGACTGCTGTTGAACTGCTCCAGCACAAAGTCATGGATTTCCTTCACAAATGCATTGGGAAGGTCTAAAGTAATAAAAAGAAATAGCATTATGCTAGAAGGATGGAAGTCAATGTATCAAAATGAAAACACATATAAAATTCATTGCTACATTATAAATGAAATTATTTAATTAAAGTTTATCCCCTACCTAAAAGATAAATTTCACAAAGTCCATCAGTACTTTCATCAGCAGACAACTGAAATGCCACCTATTAACCTTTTTAGTGGTGCACAAAATATTTTTTTTCTATTTCCATAGCACCTTTTTTATACAGAAACATTTCAAAATGCAAATTCTATAGTGTACATGGAGTTGCAAGAAAGTGTATGTTCAAGCACTCAAAATAACAGAGACAATGCTTTGGATATTAAATATAATGAAGGATAAACTAAAAAAAAAAAAAGAAAAACCCACAAATACTGTACCTTTCATATAGTACAACGTGTCTCTTAGCATTTTAAACTGAGCAAGATAAAGAGGGTCACTGAATGTTTTATAGTAGAGATCTGTACTAGCGCCTGTCTGAAAGAGAAAAGAAGCAACCTGCTAGATTTGAAATTAACTATTTTCCATTATATAGATAAATACATCATCTTATTATGGTCACATAACTACTTTCCCCCAACATATAAAGCAGCATTTCAAGCTGGTACCAGAAGTAACCTCATAGCCTTTCCCCGCTACTTTCATCAAAAGTACGGTGTATTAAATGAGATTCAGTCACTCTTTCACGTATCAATGGAAGATGTCGTGCTAAAAATCCAAAACAAAACAAAAACGAACCACACAAGAGGAGAATTCAAATCTTATCATTTTACTGAGATAGCAAAAAGAGAAAAAAAGATACGCTACTGTAATATGCAATAAAGACCTTAGTGTACAGTTAACCGGTTTTGGGCAACTGATGCTGTAATTTAGTAGGGTTAACAGAGCTGAAGTAAGAAAACTTTTCATTTTTTAAGAGGATAACTATTTCCGTTACTGAAAAAATTCGTCCTTCAGCCCCCCATTTTTACACAGTCCAAGGCTAGATAAATCCACTGAAAGAACAGTTCAAACAAGAAATTAGTATCCTTCTGCCAAAAGAAGACACTCTATCTAGGCAAAAACTGATTTTCCAAGTATTAGTTATGAAAAACAAAAAATATAGTATTCAAGTAATTTGAAAAGGAATTTAAAAGCATACCTCTGAAACTTCAGCTAAAACTGCATCTAAAGTCTTTAGCAGAGAATCCCCAACGATCTGTTTTACCTATAAAGGAAAAAAAAAAAAACAAAAAAACCCCAAGATGATTCCGGTTGATGACTTGGGATAGGAAGATAAAACAATTTCATGCACAGAAAACACGAGTCACTTGACCGTAAAGTGTCAGACGAAATTAAGGCTACAAGAATTTCTGGCTGCAACATGAATAAATCTCAGCCTCTGTGTTCTCTTCCAGAATAGCTGCTACAGGGAACAGACAGGGCCAGTAGATTCTGTCACTTGCATGAACTCCCAGCAACTGAGTCCTTCTCCAGAAAAGGGTCTCATTCTCATCGCAAAATATAATACATGCTGTTAGTTGCTGAAATGGAAGTTATCTCAGAACAAGCAGTCTGCAGGAGTCAAACAGGAAGAAGCTGAAATATATTTACTTGACTTTCTAAATTCTTCACAGTTCATAACAGAGCTTTTTAAAAATACTATTGAAGCATGATGTTAAATGCCACAAAACCAACATTACACAAAGCTTGAGAGACAAACACTATCTTGTTATCTGCAATTCCAAAAGCTTTAACTTAAACCACATCTGTTTCTAGCATGAACCTCTAGAATGCAGTCTCACTGCAGCCTCCATAAGAACCCATCACATACCATGGTCAGCAGCTGGCGGAGCATTTCCAGTGGGATGTTAAACTCTTTATTGTTGATGCCATTGAAGAGAGGAGAAACTGAAAAGCTGGAGCTGATTGTAGAGAAGTAATAATCAGGATCCAATGCGCTCCCATCAGGAAGATACGAACCTGATCAGTAAAAAAACAATAGAAAAAAAAGCTTAGGGAGAGAGAAGATATGCAGACTTTGTTTAAAGACAATGTTCAGTTACTACCAAAGAGTTATTTCCAACAGAGCTACAGTCTTCAACTTGCAACGTATCAAGAGGTACATTTCAGCTAATTTACTGGTATATCAAGACAAGAAAGTACGATTAAAAAGTACATTTTTTCGTCAGAAGTTTACAATCACAATGGAAAAATTCATGTCAATGGCTTGTGTTCATGTCAGAGACAAGAAGTCTTTCCATCCTAGTGAGATACATTTATCTGAAAACTTCCACAAATTACATTTTGCTCAAAAGCAGAGAATAGTTTAAGTCAAAACTATCTTGCAAGGTTTTCCCCTTTATTAGATATACACGGCACAGCTTTCATCTTAGAAGAGGCACCAATTCGCTACTGCAATCTGAAGATAAAGAGAAATAAAATTATTTTTCCAATTAAAGTATTCTATTAAGCAAACAATTTGCTAAGCATACTGCTTTTGGTACTTTTTCAACTTTAGAAATTACATATCTGCCATTTTTAAGTGCTCAACTGCCTGTCCTTTTCTCTAAACTGTAGTCTTGGCCAGAATAAAACCAAGACCACTACTCATCTTCTCCAATAAAATATTATGTGATTATTTTCTGGCTGTCTGTGTTTGAAATATTTGGTAGAAGTTAGTATTGAAAATAAAATCCTGATTAGAATAATCATAACTCTGCCAGAGACACAATTAAAATGATTCAAAAATTTTAACAAAATTGTCCACTAACCACCTATAGTTTTAATTGAGATGATTTTCATTCTACTACTATAGCCTCTCTCTAACCTATGGCCTTTTACTTTTTATTTGTAATTCAAAACATGTCGACCATAAAACTGAAGAAGGTTAAGTTGATTCAACTTGGTGGACAGGCGACAAACAGGTCTCTTCCCAAGTGGCAATTAAAGAACACCACGTGAACTACCCCGCAATCCCATTACATGATTGAGGAAGACGGATGCCTCTAGAAATAGTAACATGAAGGAAAAAGAAAAGCAATGTGGAAGAAATTAATTTAAGCCAGGGCTCTGGAGAGGAGAATGACCGAGAAACAGAGAATGCCCAAACTGTTAAAAACTCCAAAGGGCCAGACAAAACCAGAGACACCAAAACTGTGGATGCAGATGTAGTTCTCCACTTGATTCAGGAAAATTTATTTCTAAGCCCCACTTTGACACAGAACTCACAGCTAGAGCTCTATGCAAGCTCAGTGGTTAAGAGTTTGTACACTAACTCATGACAAATTTTCACATTCCTACCTTTTATGACACAGTAATTAACACATAGTAGTGAGCACTCCACTACAGCATCTCCTTTACTATTTTTTACTTCAGCAAATTACTAGGTCGTACACAATGACCTATATCACGTTTACTTCCAGTTAGGCAGTTGTTTTAGACTTACACAATATGCCACAAAGGTCTCAGAAGTTCCTGACCCTAGTCCAACAACTTAGTCGTCCGGTGAAGCACAATATTAACACTTGTTCCTCTGTCTAATCTCCTGAAATATTTTTGGCCTGGCTGAATTAAGCTCCTCAGTACTAGGCACAGCCTAGCAGTCGGGAAATCATTTCTCAGAAACAACTGAGCCTGGAAACCAATGGTGTTAATAATAACTTCCTACTGCTTTTATATGGCAAAATTTTTCAGAATCTTAGCAGCTATGTTCCAGAGAATTACTGTAAGAATTCTAGAGTGCAGAGGAAGAGGTCAAAAAGACTGTTTCTCAATTTCCTATAAATAGCAATAAACCTCCAAAATCAGACACTCTTCTTTTGCAAAACAATTTACCTTCGAAGTAATGAATGGCAGATCCTCCAGGAGAACTGGGAGGAGGAATTCCACGTTCAGGACTAACCTGAAACATCACACAAAATCCATAATTTAAAAACTGTTTACAAAATAACAAAAAAGTCTTCCTGAGAACGGTTGTTACACTTCGTAACAAAACACAACTTCAAGCAAAACTAACAGAAATTACATATCCCTGGGCCTAACAGCTCAATTGCAGCCAAAATTGGGAAGTTGAAAAATGCTAGTTCAGTGATTTTCTCTAAACGGAAGAGATCAGGATGATGACTCCTGTATGGGTGTAACTGCACTAATAACCATCCACGGTTACAAAACCAGCATCTGAATCCATTCTTCCCCTAAGACAACGAACAGTCACAACTCCTGGTTAAACCAGTGAGAGCTCATGCATCCTCAGCACTTCTGACAGCTTGAGCCACAAAGTGCCAGCTTCCCAAATGTTCAGATATACAATGCTTTTCCACTGGAAAGGAACAGGATTTATCAGCTGTTCCATGTGAAAACTTATTAGTACAGTTGTTAGTTTAACCATCACTGATTATTCTGTAACTCAGAAACTAAAAAAAAATACACTTTGAAACTCACTTGCAGAAGCAAAATAAACATCTCTAGTCAAATAACGTGTTAAGACACCACGTGCATATCCAGGTTTAATGCTGTTGTAATTCCTCCAAGACCACAAAAGCACCTAATCACTGACTCCAACACAGAGTAAGTCACACAGACCTGTGAGATGCTAGATACGCTGCTGGCCTTTCTCTTTAGCGTTCCTTCTTGGCAAACAGTGAGTAGAGAACTGGGAAGAATTGATCTGAAATCATTGAAGGATCGTCGGCGAATTCCTTCAAGCTCTTCTGGAACTCTCAGAGAATGCGGGGGTATTTTTGGAAAAAGCTTTGAAAGGAGAGCCTCCTCTGAATTGCTGTAGCGACCAAAGGCTCGAGAAATTCCTATCAGGCAGGGTACTGCATACTTGCATAAATATTCTGGAAAAGAAAACCGTAAGAATGTATTAACAGTAACTTAGAACTTCATCTTCACAGTTTTGCTACCTCTTCACTAAACTGTTTCAGTCCAACGTGCTTTACAAAACCTTACGTGTGCCAGTAGAGGAAAACCCACGAAGGAATCTCCTGCTTCTGTATTTACCACTCACCAACAAATGGAATAAATATGAGCTAAGAGAAGTCGAAAAAACTGCTCACTTTTGAGGAGTGATCTTGATAATCAGAAAACATAAAAGACAAGTTGAGAGGATAAGAGTTACAAATATAGTAACAATTTTAATAGTACCTTTATCATGCATTTGTGGGGTCTGGCACATTCCCAACAGGAACTGCATTACTTGTAGAATCGCATCCAAGATCTAAAGTAATCAAGATAGACATATGAAAATATCTTTCAGTAAAAAGATATCATTATCTTATACTAGGTCACTACAACAAATGAAACTTGCAAATATTAACGTAAGCACCTCTGTAAACAACATTTTATTGCTGTGTGACTAAAAAAGTACATTGCCCTCGCTCAGCTACAGAGCTTCTTTTGCAAAGTCTGCAGTTAGCAGTCATCCCTTCGCAAGAAAGGAAGCAGCGGTGGCGTACTCTTCCCTAGACATCTGTCAGCACTGCAGCACTGGCGAACTTAACGCAAACTTAAAATAAACTCTACCTGCTCTCTGAGAGATGCATCCCTGTAAGCGACATCTGATAACAATGTCACCAAGCAGAAGCTGAAGTTTTCTGCCACTGGAAGCAAGCCTGCAAGTAACGGACAGAAAGTCACTTAAGCACTGTCACAGAGAATCAACACAGAAAGGACAAATAATAATAATAAAGTAGAAGACCTAAGTGGTTCCCATGTCGTACAGTTTTGAGATAGGCTGTAGAAAAATGTGGTATGACACACTAATCTTAGAAGTGCATTCTATCCATGATAATTTCAGCATGAAATGTTAAAAGAACAATTTTAATAATTCAAAACTCTTCCAGGCTTTCAAGTAATTGGAACAAAATATTAAAAGATCCCTTGTGAAAAAAGTATTCTTATATTAAGAGGTATTAAGGGAGCAGGAAATTAAGTGGTTTAAATAGCAACTAAGCATCAGAGCTAAAAGTAGAGAGTACAAATGTCAGATTCCACTCTCCTGCTCTAACTACTACACAATATTCTCCAATTTAGTAACAAATATACTGAGCATAGAATTATTTGCAAAGTGCAATTTAATCACAGAACAGTGAAGCAGGAAAGCTGGGAGCTATTCAACTTTCTCTCTGCTTCTAAAGAAAATCAATATTAAAGGCTGTTGAGTCAGAAGCCAAGAATATAGCAGGACCTATCATCTCCCCTTGTGTCATGTCCTGAATAACCCCTGTTACTGCTATTTCCTGGCTGGCATTCCATGAGAATGGTCAAACAACCCCAACATCACCTCTGCCTTTCCGTGCATTGCTTTCTTCTATCCACTGGACTTTGGGAAGACCTTTCAGAAGTCGGAGGAGGTAAGGAACCACATTATCTTTGTGCTAAAGAGGAAAACATTGTATTTAAAATAGAGAAAAGCTGAACTGTATCACCTCAACGTATTTTAGACATATGGAAATACTACATTAATCCCACACAGAACTCGCTTCTAATAATTACTCCACAGGCTTCTTGAATATTGCAAAATTGATTCCAACACAGGCAAATGAAAGTAAACCAATTCAGTGCTATAAACTTAATCCTTTCATTCTAGGCCACAGTTCATTCTCTGTAAAAGTTGGAGAAAAGAGTTCCAGAACAAAAAAATTTGGTTAGTTTACATCAAGGTCACAAAATATTTTGACGGCAGCCAGAAATTCAGTACCTGCGATCCGTCCCATTGCCTTATGCAAGTCACTTAACACATCTGCGTAACACTTCCGCTTCCTAATCTGCAAATTAGAGGATAGCACTCTCCTTCCTCACAGAGTTGGATTAATTAATACTAAAAAACATTATGTGAAAACATTATAAAAATGTTTAGAAACATGAATACAGCTGCCTTGTTTAAACTTCATACTCAGAAGAACCACAAAAAGGACAATGCTAATAATACGCATGTAAGCTATATCATAGTAAATACATACTAAACAGGAGGAAATTCAGGCCTGATACAAACCCTGGCAACACTAATGACTTAAAGTGACAACTAATGACTTTGGACCGAGGACTCAGTACGTCCTTCCTTTCCTCTGCATGAAAAAATACCACACCCAGAGGCTGAGGCAAAGGGAACCAGTCTGTCAGAAACAGGCTGACGGATACAAAAGGGATGTCTGTACACCACTCAGTCTACACGCCCTGCTTGGCTTTCTATCCCGGCACCAAAAGGCCTATCACAAACCTGACGTTCAGGAGTATGTTGGAACACACTTGTCATTCAGAAGCATGTGCATGCAGGGAGAAACATGCCATGGCACATATGGTTTGAGTAAATCCTCCTGAATAGCCTTTCCTTTCTCTCCTTAAGCTACAATGACCAAAAAACCGCAAGTTTGGCTGTGGCAGTGCCATGACTACTGTCTGACACCCTCATCAGGACTGTCCTCGTTTCCTTGTGCTCCCCTGCCTGCATCCAGCTGTTATCCCTGATCTTTTTAGCTATTTTTATGAAGAGTAAATACCAACTTCTCACTCACTGAACGACTGAACTTGAATTAATCCAAGATCTTCCAAGTTAAATAGAGCTAGCCTAAGTGGGAAAAATACCTGAAGGTCAGATTCAATTAGAAAGATTCCTAAAGCAATAACAGCATCTCTGCGACGTTCATCTAACTGGAAGATCCCATGGAAATCCACTGGACACATACAGAGCAGTTTTTGTACCTGAAAAACAGCAGAGAGAAAGAACAGTAGAACGAGGCCGAAAGCGTCAAAACAATCCAAGGCAATACCAATACAGGTGTTAAAATTGCCTTTCAAAAATCCACCAGCAGACTTCAGGAAAGCAATGCAATCAGCTCCCAGCTTCCCTTTCACGGAGCAGAGTGAGCCATCACGCTCAGCCCCAGAGCACGCCAAGCAGCAAGCCTGGGTAGCACCAATGCAATTGCCAATATTTTCACAGCAGAGAAACGAGCTGACAGGCTGCAGTTTTCAAGACTCATTCCAACCTCCTGTGTTTGAAGCGGACAGCAGTCTTTCCATCTTCTGGAAGACAGATGGCCACATTGCCCTCCGTTAGTCATCAATCTTAATGAGAGCATCTAAGGCTAGGAAAGAGTGACGAATGACAGAAACTAGAAAAAGGTAGAAAAATCTCAAGTATATGTCAAACATTGCTACCACAACATGTGTCGATTTAAAAGTTTCCAACACTCGTTAAAGCTGTTGTTTTCACATCTCAATAGAATTTTTGAAACTTTTCATAGTGTCACATTTAAGAGAGCTCACTCCTGCATCCCTAGCACAACAAAGCCTTCCTTCCACTAATTTACTGGACATTTTGGATTGGCAACAAATTTGTAGCAGGCACATATATCTTATTTATTCAATTCTCGTGAACAGGTGCACGGACCTTTAGTTACAACTGGACCAGTGTCGTCTTCACATACAGCACTGAACAACAAATAAACTGTTACCTAGCTGAGCATAACGTTTGCTGAAGTCCTTTTAACCTAACGGGATTAAGTTGCCAGAACTATTATTTTCTCCCTACTTAACCTATCACTTCACTCCATACCCAGCAAACGCACATTTAAAGAATATATCTAAGCTCCCAAATACTTATTTTTCCCATAGAACAGTTAAAAAAAAGGTAAATGCAAAGTATTTTTTTTAAAACTCCATATTGTTAATAAATGTCACTTAAAAAGAACTGTCACACTAAGTATGTTTGAAAGACCTATGTTTGAATGTCAAGTTACGCCCTATTTAGGTAACTCTTTAAACACTCCGCCTTGGAATTTCTAAACCAAGAAACTATTTCCCTAGCGGATTAGAAGAATTTACTGGATGCTCAGTGGAATTTAAGATTCTGGTCTGTAAACCTCATAATTACAAGACATGTAACACAACACAAATAATCCTCTTGCTTGAGACAAAATACAGCAGAGGAAATAAAAACTTTGGAAAATAACTTCTGTTGCATGTGTCCTACATCAGGTTAATATTTACAATAATACGAGGGCACAACTTTAACTAGATATGAATTGTTAGTATCATTTAACTCCTACTGCAGTCTCCCAAACTAAAAAATAAAACCAATAACAAACAAGCAAAGAAAAAAAACACACAAAAAAAACCCAAAATCAAACGCAAGGCTTAAAAAAAATATTCACAGCTGGCTGTCAAAACAAGAGGGGATTTCCCGAAGAACTAAGCCGAGAAGCCCGCAACAGCCGGGAACCAGCCCTGCAGTTGTCACCAGCACAGAGCTGTGCTTCCCAGCCGCCTGGTCACCCTTCCCCACTGCACGGGGCACTCTGAAGTTCCGACACTCCACGCTCAGAGAAGCCAAGCCCTGAGACACCACAACACCGTTCCGCCCTTTTCGCTGCCCAGACCCACGGGAGGAGCTGCCCACGCAAAGCTCCCCCGGCGGGGTTACCTTCCGCTGAGGGTTCTCTCAGCCAGGCTCGTTTTCCCTTGAGCCCGCTGCACCGCTTGGATTTGACCAGACCCCTGAAGCACAGCAACCCACCCTAACTGACCCG